GATGATGGACTCAATCCCCTCATCTAAATCATCGATAAAGATGTTAAACAGGACTGGGCCCAACACTGATCCCTGGGGAACACCACTGGTGACCAGCCACCAACTGGATGCAGCCCCGTTCACCAGCACTCTCTGGGCCCGGCCCTCCAGCCAGTTCCTGACCCAGCACAGAATGCCCCTGTCCAAGCCATGGGCTGCCAGCTTTTCCAGGAGTATATTATGGGAGACAGTGTCAAAGGCTTTGCTGAAGTCCAGATAGACCACATCCACAGCCTTTCCCTCATCCACCAGCTGGGTCACCTGATTGTAAAAGGAGATCAGGTTGGTCAAACAGGATCTGCCCTTCCTAAACCCATGTTGGCAGGGTCTGATCCCTTGTCCATCCTGTAGCTGCTGTGTGATTGCACACAGGATGATCTGCTCCATAACTCTGCCAGGCACCAAGGTCAGGCTGACAGGCCTGTAGTTACTAGGGTCAGCCTTGCATCCTTTTTTATGGATTGGGGTGATATTTGCCAACTTCCAATCATATGGGAACTCCCCCGTGAGCCAGGACTGTTGGAAGATGATGGAGAGCGGCTTGGCAAGCTCTTCTGCCAGCTCCCTCATTACCCTAGGATGGATCCCGTCTGGTCCCATAGACTTGTGAGGATCCAGATGATTCAGTAAGTCACCAACTATTTCCTCCCAGAATACAAGGGGCTATTTGGTTTCCTATCTCTGTCGACCAGCTCCAGAGGCCAGTTGCCTTGAGGGCCACCTGTCTTACTGGTAAAAACTGAGGCAAAGTAGGTGTTAAGTACCTCAGCCTTCTCCTCATCTCTATTAACTCTATTAACCTTCACATCACAAGATCTTCTTATCCTCTTTGGTACTAAAAAAGCCTCCATGCTGCAATGTGTTATTAAGGAAATAAACTTTTCACCTTACATTTTGCAGACAAAAAGCAGATGGAATATTTTAGCTGCTGTCCATAAAATTACTTTCTCCAGTTTTCTCCACTTATCAAAAAGAATTTTTGAAAATATGGCTTTGAGGGGACAGGAACTATAACCAGACACAATTCTCCATAATACTCTCAAGCAACCTTCTCACTTTCCACTCTTTATAACCATAAAAACTTCATCAACCCTTTCTGAAACAGCAGCTTGCAAGTTAAGAGTTCCACACTCAGATGGTTATTTAGCTTACCTGCAAATGCAACAGTTGCAACACCAAGTCCAACTGCTATCATAGTTCTGGCCTAAAGAAGAAAAACAGGAATCAGAATAACATGCAAACTCTAATTTAATATAAATGCACCTTTTACTTTAACAAGTATTTCTGATGTCTGATGTGGACATTTCATATATAATTTACAGGAAAGATGAAAGTAAGTTCTGTATTCCTCAGGCTACATCAGATTTTTATAGTTCAGTCCCATTAACCCACGCCAACATATCAGGTTTAACTCGGAACTACCCACCAGCAAATCAGCGAACATACACTGAAATCAGCTCATAGTATGTAATGATAAAAACACAAGGCAAATGACTATTCAGGATTACTTGAAATTACTTGTGCAGACTAGTTCAACACAGTATGTAACAGAAAGTATCTGTTTATTACAAAAACATAAAGAGCTAACTAAAAACTCCAAAATCAGATGTATGTATTTTCCTCCACAGTGTCTGAAAAAACGTCAGGCACTTCAGGAAGGACAATGGTAAGTATTTCCATGCTGATCAAGATGCTGATGAAAGGTGTGAAGTAAATCTTGAAGAACGGACTGACTTCTCACACGTTTGCAGAATTCAAGAAGGGTAACAAGTTCTCCATTTCTGAAAAGCCTACACGTAATCTTTGAAACAAATGAAATAGTCATCTGTGGCATTACCTGTCTTATCATAGGACAGTTCAATAATGCCTTGTTTTTTTCCCCAGGAAACCTGAGAAATCAGATTAGGCTTGTTTATCTTGAATTTAAAGCATAATGATAGTGAAAATGCTTTTATCACCAGACTGTCTCTTCTATATATGACTTACTTCTGCAATTACCCAGTAACTGGTTTATACATTCTGTACAAACAAATCTGACAGAAGGACTTAAAGCTCAAACTTCAATGTGAGTGCCCTAATAACTGGATCTGGAGCCAAGTTGCCTTTGCTACTAAGATTCCTGGGGTTGACATTCTTCGTCTTCAATTGTACCCAACCTCATTTCTAGACAGAGCAGGAGTAGGGGAAGAGTTCAGAAATAACATTTTTAAAGCCTACCTAGAATTGGTTCAGTATGGGCTACAACATGGGTAGACAACTTGGCCTGCAAACAGGCAGCTGTACAAGATGTGGGTAACAATTGCACCCAGTGGCTCCTACAGCTTTGGCTCTGAAGGAGAATGGCTGTGATTGACGCCTGTAGTATTGAGCTCAGTACAGAAAAAGTTGCAGCCTGCCCTGAGCTCATGCAGAAGTAGCTGTATTCCTCTGTATTTAGCTTCTGGATCCTACAGATTGTAACTAAGTACCTACCTCCCACCTGCCTGAGCGACCTGTTAGATATTTGCATAAGACTGCAATTGCCTAGAGGTTTCTATAAAAAAAAAAAAAAAAAAAAAAAAAAAAAAAAAAAAAAAAAAAAAAAAAAAAAAAAAAAAAAAAAAAAAAAAAAAAAAAAAAAAAAAAAAAAAAAAAAAAAAAAAAAAAAAAAAAAAAAAAAAAAAAAAAAAAAAAGACTCACTAAGTCACTAAGCATACTGAAACTGAAGCTCCAGAGTTAAGACTGAGGGAATCCTGGCCTTAAAAATCTGCTTGTCTATCCCATTTTAGTAACAGAACTCTTCTGTTTCAGTGTACTCTTCAGTCTCGATATTAGCATTCATTTCAGAACATAAAAATAATGTAGTAGTTTTATGTCTGTTGTTCCTTTCAGTTCCACCAAATTTCCTTAATCTTTAGACCATGAAAAACTTGAGCATATTACCTTAAATGGTATAAGATGTAAAATAGTCAAGCACACAGTTCACCCCCTCACTCAACTAAAACTCTTTAATTTCTTCTCACAATTCAAGTTTTCCCAGGTTCTCAATATTCAAACCTTAAAAAGAATTCCTCTACTTCCTTTGTTTAGACAGGAACCACAACCAGTGGCAATATTTCCGAAAATATCACAACCCTATAGCAATTCTATATTATTCTGTCATGTGAATCGTGACCACAGATTAATATTCAAGAGTTTCCGTTACTTTGATTCAGTGACGGCAAGAATCTTTTACTAAGTGGTTATAGTCAATTAAGAGCTCAACAATGTGTGAAATAGATCACACAGGCAAAAAAAAATGTATTTATTAGCCTGTGATTGTCCAGATTAAGTTATACTTGCTTTGTCACTGAAAAGGTGGTTTAAATCAGCAGTTTACAAAAATATATACAGGTTGCAACAAGGCATTAACAGGAGACACCTCATCACAGGTAGGACCAAGCACAGAGAACGGGCTAATAAACAATACCAGGTTTCAGTCAGTTTAGTGCAGAAATAGCATGTCTTTGCACAGTACTCTGGGAGCACATTGTAGAGACCCCTAAGGGCCTCTGACAGAAGCAGCCATGTCTGCTGGGATACATTATTTCAATCTCAGTGGAAAGCAGTAGCAGCTAGTGGAAAGAGTGCTGCCTGGAAAAGGGCAGGTGAAAACAAAACATAGCAGCAGCTCCAGAATAGGAGCAGGATTGCAGGACTAACAGGAAAATGAAGACAAGACAAAAAACTTCATAAAAGCGATAAAAAGCTCAAGTCAGAGAGGCATGAAAGACTGCTCACATTTCGAAGTGAGGTACAGCCACCTCAGAAATATTGGTTTATGGCAATTCCTCTTATGACCCTGAGATTAGCTCGGTTGGAGCATAGTGCTAATAATGCCAAGGTTGTGGGTTTGATCTCTGTATGGGCCATTCACGTAAGAGCTCGACTCAATGATCCTGGTGGGTGCCTTCCAATTCAGAATATTTTGTGATTCCATCAATTTTGGCTGGAAAGCAGCAGTTCAACTGTGTGGAACAGTAGAGGAATCAGTAATTATTTGCATTACGAGCAGGTTATAGAAGAGTCACTTGACACATAGTAACGAAGAAGTGATAACTTGTCACACAAAGCATCTTGAATGTTTGTTATGGTGTGAACATACCCTAACTATACCCATGGGACAAAAACTGAATTGGAATCACTGTTAAAGAGATTGCACAGTTTGTCTTTTACTGGCACAGGCTCTCATAAAATTAGTGGCAACTTCAAGTACCAACCAGTAGGTCCTTTAAGTTCGGTTTGACTCAGTTTCCTTTTCCACGCTCACTTAATCAGTTGTGCATTTAAAAGAATCAGTCAAGGCTGGCCTGGTTCTTTGAAATGCAAAGTCCAAAGCTTTAATTAAATGCACTCTTTCACGTCAATATTAAATGAAAGCAACTCGCTATCACTGTGGAAGGCAGCAGTTCATTTATTGCATGCTAATACAACTACCACTGCAATAATTTTTGTTTCCTATTGCTTGAAATTGCATTTTATTTCAGACTCATAAGGGATAAATAAATACATACATACTGACTTTCAATTATGACAGAACTGACCTTCCCAACCCTCCAAAAATGCCATTGAGAAACTTCCAAGATGCAGATTTTAAATGAAAGCATTCTGTGAAGATCCAAGAGGGAAAAATAAAGAAATAAAAGATTAAAGTAACATCTGTCCCTTTCTTTATTCAATGAATCGGCTCCCAAAGGTTAGTCATCAATCCCACGCTATTCTGCTGATCTCAGTGTTTTAATTTTACTGTGTAGTTCAGTTTTCAGTAATAAACCCTCTCAGATAAAGAAAACTAATTAAATAGTTATGCTAAATCTGCAAAACCTGAATTTTCTTAATTCTTTTCAGAAATGTGTACAAGAAAACGTAAGCATTAGAAAGGCAACTGCAAGAACGGATTTACCTAAGCATTTGGCAAACAAAATAGGATAAAGTGTATGAATTAACACCCAGTATGTTCAGAGGTATATACCACATACTGTTAGCATACAGAGACCTAATCCTTCAATACTGAATTTTCCAGTAGTCCTAACTTTTTAGCAGAAAAAACAGGGATGAACGAGATATTATTTTTGCAAATTTCTAATCCACAGTGCTCTGCTAGCTTAACCATACTTAAAAAATATGGTTAGTTCTCATGTAGTTCTTAGCACTATGGCTTCTCCTTCTATGAAGGAGGAAAAAAACTTATAAACAAAAGATTATAAAATGCATCACTTTCAAATTTCAGCACAACTTGAGTACATCTGACTATGGGCTGCAAGAGTCACCTGTAGGAATGTCTGTTGCACATATCTGCTTGCACAGAATTTGGATTTTATACACTGGTTCTTCTACCACCAGTGAAAACAGTCTTCTTGGTCAAATAAAAAATATTTTGCACGCCTCATAACTTGGCTTTTAGACACATAGTAAAAGCTCTACAGCCTTTTGCCTTGGAAACCTACAGTGTAATAGAATAAAAAGCACAGAGAAAATAATAATTTATTGATATGGGTTGGATGGTATTTTGTAACTAATCCATGCTTAGTCATAGAGCAGCAAAATAGGAATTATGTACTTATATTTAAATAAACACGCAAGGCTAAGTTGCTTAACTAAAAATTTCATTTTAAGAAGGTTTGATTTGGTTTTGGTTTGGTTTTTTTGTGCTGTATGCTACTAAGAAGTAGGATACACAAGTACACTAACCAAGTAAACAAAAATATTTCTGAAATTAAATTTTCCCTCAAATAAAAATTCTTGACTTGAAATAAATGATTGTTTGGTATGCAAGGTAGAATAAGGCTTCAGAAAAAAAACACCTAATTAACTCTATATGGAGCCAGAAACATTCCAAAGTGGGATTATATCATAAACTATCTGCAACCGATTTGATTTCATAATCTAATGTTTTCCATCCAGTCTTACCTTCCTATGAAATTTAATTTGCTTTCCAACAGTGAATTAAAAGCAATTTCAGCTAGATGCTGTTCTCCATACTGACACAATTTTTATGTCAATTTGTGTAATTTATTTTACAGTAACTTTTTTGATTTGTATACAAAGCTATGACTTAGAGTTTTTCATAGGAAACTGTACCAGAGCAAACAGACTCACTAACAGAAGCATCACCATAAGGTATTCAAATCAATCTTCTTGAGTACGTATTAACAACGAGCTCTTGCTGTTATCTTTGAGAACAGACTCTTCATGCTTCCACTGTTGCTCTTCCATCGCTCCAAACACTTTTGTAAAACAACTAAGAGAATAAAAGTGACCATGAAAAAGTGACTTCAGCTAATATCCCGGACAACTCACAACAAAGATTCAGGGTAGGATATTGAACAGAGCTCTTTCAGCCCCAAGACATGGATGCTGCTGTTGGACTTTGCTTCTCCTACTACTGCTCCGTTCCACCACAGAAAAAAGGTCTCATTACCCTGCAGGGTTCTCAGAGGAACAGATGCACAGCACTACGGTTGGTTTTGCAATTTCTCTCTGGTAAAATTGTAGAACTTGTTTATACACAACTTGACCTCCTTCTGAATTTCTTAGCTGTCAATGAATTATGTATGCTGTTCTTTCTTCCATTATCTACATAACACCATCTAGAGAAATTCTAAAATAGCTTCTACTGACAACTGTATGATAACAGTTTACAATGTAGATATGCCTTAAAACCATTGCATTCTCCACTGAAAGGCCTGGTTAAAGAAAAAATTTCAGCAGTAATCCGGATTCTAGTCCTCTGAAGACCTACCTCAGTCTCTGGGCCTTACTAAGAATGTGACGATGCTCACGGCTACAAAGCAAGCCATGCTAACCTCAGCTGCAACTTTTACCCCAGACAGGTAAGAAGGTCCAAAGACTCAAGAAAATTCACTAGGAATTCCCTGCTAGCATTCCAGCTGTTCCATGAATTAATCAAAGTGACTAGAATGAAGGACTGGGATAAAATCCCATCACTCTTCCCTCTAGAGCACAGTAGAGCATAGGAAACTTCAGAGGCACTTTGCCTCCACTCCAGCCTAACGCAGACTCTGCCACATTACAAAGTACCAGGTGAGAATTACTTGGCTGAAGCAGAGCTCTATGAAACCATCAACACTCAAACCCACCTGCAGTAATAACACCTGCACAGTGGGTGAAAAAACACCACAGGTATCACATCACACCACAGGTATCACATCACACCACAGGTATCACATCACTTCCTCATAGCAGAGGAACAAAATTTTCGGCCTTGTTTGCTCACATCTGAGAATGCTAGGGCCAAAGCACTCTCACGTAGAATCCCAGAAAGGGCCAATGAGTATGCCTCAAACACCAAGAGCCGGATGGCTGTGGAGGTAGCCAAGGATCAGTGGTAGTAGCAGAAAAGGACTGTCAGTAAGAGCACACCATGGGAAAGAACAAGACATGACTGGAGAAGGGGGGACGTGTGGATCCAGCACTTTTCATTGTTCTATTTCCTGGAGATAAACACAGCACAGCACAAGCACAGGAAAGAGGCTGAGAAATGGGCATGGACTGTAGGAGGGGATCAAGACCATCCAAGAGCCCTGAAGCTCCCTGACTCATTTCCAGAAAGATATGAAAAGAACAGGCTGCACATGTTGACCAATTCCCATAGAAAGCAAAGAACCTGTCTCCAGGGTGGAGAAACCTGTCCATAAAAAGGTACCCCCACCAAGCCCAGGTGGTATCCCCAGGACCCTGAACATGCCGTCGACTGGACCGACAATGGAAACAGGATTGACGATCTCCTCTTTTTTTTCTTTTTTTTTTTTCCTTCTCCTCTCACTTTTCCTTTCTTTCTTCCTTTCTCCCTCTCTTACCCACTAATTCAACTCTCTATTTTCTCTCTCCCTTTTCACCTTACCCCTTAATCAAAACCCCACTGCCACGTGGTGTCAAGGACTAACATACCAATGTGCCAAGCGTGTAACTTGCTAATAAAACTTTTTGACTGTCTGCGGGCCCTCCGACTCCTGCCGTTCCTCCCCACCAGAATCATTCATTCCCTGAACCCTGGGCGCTCCCTCCCTTCCCCTCAAGGGCGGGCCGTCACACCACTGCCCGTGCTGCAGCTACCCCCATGGCACCGCCGCCCGCCCTCCCAACCCAGCCCAGCCCAGCCCAGCCCAGCCCAGCCCGGAGGAGGAGGCCTGATCCTTGCAGCGCCATCCCGCCCCGCTGTCGCGGCGCTCACACCCGTCCCCCCTCACGCCCTGGGTCAGAAGGGCCCCGGGAGCCGAGGGCTCCCGCCGTGCGCTCACCAGCCCGCGGTCCAACTCGGCTTGGCCCCTGCCGGCGCCCGTAGAAGGCCGCACGTACTCGGCGTAGCGCAAACCCTCGGCAGAGCCCGCGGCGCCCGCCATTTTGGAGCCAAGAGAAGCCGGTGCTACGGGCCGGACGGAGGGACAAACCGCGCGGCGGGACGGACCGCGCGAGGGGGCGGGGCCGAGGCCGGAGCGTCACGTCGTAGGAATAAAGCGAAATGAAGGCATAAGAGATAATTTATGCATTAAAAAAAAAAAAAAAATTATAAGGAGAAAACACTCGGACCGCACGGAAATGATTCGTGTCCATCTCCTGAATACAGGATTTTAGGCGGGGGGGTGGGGCGGGACACACACACACACACACACACACACACAAGTAAAGGAAAATATAAAGACAAATTAATCTGGGGGGGGGGGAACCCTAAAAATGCATTTTTATATAAATATGCTGGCACTTCGGTTGGTGTCTGTATATGTTTCACTGTGTTTGTTTTGATTTCCTGAACGTGCTGACACTTCATATCGCTTCTGAAAACCTCCCTCAGCTGACCCCTCCCTGTGCAGAAGTTGTCAATCATCATCAGGCCCGTACCACAATCTGTAAAATACTCAGTCCCGTTCCAGTAGAGCAGAGGAACAGCTTTTCCCTTTTTGCTGGTTTTCCACCTTTCCCACTTAGTCGTATTGGGGATGGAATTGAATCACCTGCAGATTGCTAAGCGGTGTGACTGGACAAAAAGAATTGCTCTCCTTACCTCTTATTTCAAATGACAATTGCTCTTCTGAGCATCTCTAAGTGTCTTTTTAAAGTACCATAAAGGTGAGTTGACCATATATAGCATTTCATTAACCTTAGGCAGATGTATAAATTCAACTTTCTACTGCACAGAAGTCATTGAGAGTTGTATGATGATCCATTTGTCAAGAAATGCATTCATTTTTACTTCTTCATTGGACATATAACATACAATCATATACAATTATTTTTTAAACCTTCAGTGGAACTGGATTTCTTGGAAACTCAACCCTATTTTGAATTCATTAAAAATGTCCCCAACTAATCATTTTCTGTTTATTTATTTGCAAAGAAATAATGCAGAGTAGCATGTTGCTACTTTTTTTGGTTAGCAAACCCAGTTTAAAAAATAATAAATTTAAACTTTTGGAATCTAGGGTCTTTTCCTTAATTTTCCGAACTGATCCCAGAGACCCCTGAACAGGTCAGAGTCTGCTCTTGTCAATTCAGAGTTGTGATTCTGTTATTTTGCGCTAATACTTATGTCTCATGGTCACAGCAGCCAAGTTCTTCCTCATTTGTAAGTATCAAAACCAAAGGATCATCTCCCCTTTTCAGTTCCTTGATTACCTTCAAAAGGAAGTTATAATCAATGAACTCAAGACACATGTCATTGTAAGGACATCAAAATTTGGCTTTTAAAGACACTGGGTCATACTATGGTCCAAATATGTATGCAAATACATCTAGGCAAGCTCTGAGGTGGAAAACAGTGCTCTGAACATCTTCCTCCTATTACCAGCCATGCTACTACTACTGCTACTATTTTCTGGACAGTGCGCCTCAGGAAGCATATTGATTAAGCAGAACAAACCAGATAATCAACACAAGGAAAATATATCTTTTGCCAGGAGTGAAAGACTGTAGGTTGTTTCCCTTGCAGGCAAGGAGAGGAGGAAGTAAAGCAGCTGGGTCCTTGGTTATGGTTCTCTCCCAAAGCTCCTCTCAGCATGGCACAGCTGTGTGCTCTATTATGCACAGGATGGTGCTGGTAGAGACAATCTGTCCATTACTATTTAATTTAATCCTAAACATTAGTATATCCCAGCATATTGTCACTATTAATGTGTGGCAATGTTGTCCAGATTTGTTATGCCATTTAAGTTAATTATCTGCATACTTTTCCTATAAATTACTTTCCTACGCAGTCTGTGCTACAGTATTCCATGATGCAGTCAGGATCAATGATGGCAAGAATCTCTGCCAGGAATGAAGGAGAATCTAGAAACAGATACCAGATTAAATCTTGTGAAATTGATAACAAGGGATGTGTGTGTGTTTTGGATTTACCTTTTACCTCTGGGAATTTCCAAAGTACATGTAAATGTAACACCTGACCAGTGTAAATAGAATGGCAGGGACCAAAATTTCATACTAAAGATTAAAGTTTCTGAGGTCAGGCAGAGGAGAGAGTATAATTGAGAGTTATCAAGGAAATCATGAGGCATATCATATAAAACCAGTAAAGTCAGTATTTGAGCCTTGCTGAGTTGTCATGTACATACAAATGAATGAAGAATAACTCTTCCCAGCCACTGCACAAGCTCCCACAAGCATTTGTATATTTAATTACCACAATATACTGTAAAAGCAAAAAGAGGTATGAACGGTGGACTTCTGCTAATTTATCCGGGTAATGTATTTGGAAACATTAGACAGTAAAGAATGTAATGTTCTTTCTAGATGCTATAATAATTGTCTGTATGACACCTTTGGTTGACTAGGTACCACAAGGTAGTATATCATATAAAATCCTAAGCTGGAACTAATCATGGCCTTCAAGAATTACAAGGGTACAATTATTCCTTGAAGAAGATGGTATATATGCCAAAAGGCTCAGGTATCTTTTGTGAATAAGTAAATCTCTGCTTTAAAAACTATTAAGAAAAGGATCTATTCAGGAATCTTGCAAATAGTATTTTAATACTGCTAAACTTCTCAAGGATTTTTTTCTTCTGGACATAATGCAGGAGCAATAGCTATTAGAGTTCTTTGTTTCTGATAATATTTGTATTCCTTATCGGTTAATTTTGCCTTTTGCAATAGGTTCCTTGCAGGCATTTTTAATGGTATAAAGCACTTCTTTGTAGTCCTGATTGTTTTTATAACATCAGACCTTTAAAATAGCCCTACTTTATTATGTAGTATTATTTATATAGCAATATAAATATGCATAGCACCCTCCAGGCATAAGAATATCCCTTAAAAGTAGCAATAATCTTCAGGCACTGCTTCTGGACCTCAATACAGCATGTTCTGGATATGGGGTCAATCAGATTTTCAACCTCCACTTCCATCTTCTGAAGTAGTATTAGCTAAAAGAGGGGTGGACCTGCTATAATGCTGAAGGATACTGTGGAGAAAGCAAGGGTCAATTTTCTTTTAGAGAGTGGAAGATGATAGTTTTTGACAGGTACCGTCAATTTCAGCTTTTTGCAATAAAATGGGAAGTGTGTGCAGCATTTTACATTTCCTAAATAGATTACCCAACACATACACACACACGCACTTGTCAAAGCTAATGGCATTCTTTCTGCTGAACCTGACAAATTCCAGTCCTAAATCTAAACAAGAATAAATCTTGGCCAAATGTTGACATTTCACCCTCCTTCTGGGCCTGCCTCTCCAGGGAGCAGAGGAGTAATTCCTCTTCTCCAGCATCCTGAGCTGTAACAATTAGTTCTATCAACCCTGCAGAAATGCAGTGTCCTCACAACACAGCAAGCTTCCTCTAACGGAACATTTTCTGTCAAGTGCACAAAACTAAAAGTGATACTACAGCTTTCATTCATATTAATGTTTTGTGGTTTTGGTCTACAGTGAACTCAGAAATTTTGCTTGCCATAGACATGTTTCAGATCAAGTATTTTAAAAGTCAAGCTGAACAATTCTTGTCTAGTTTAAGGTTTTCTGTTCACAACTAATTGTACAGCAAGGTAAAGTACTCAGCCAGAAAAACCTTCATAAAGTAAAATGCATCTCTAAAAATTCAATTTTGCCATCGTGGTATAAAAACTCTATATGCAGTGCTAATTATAGATATGCCTCTATTTGCCATCGTTTGTCATTGCTCTAAAATACAGGGATGTGTTCCGTATGATCAATTACATGTATAAGCTCTATAGTATAGTCAGCTGTGTGTCTTCTCAATTTAGCTAAAATGTCCTGGGAAAAAACTTTGTATGTGAACCCTTGAGCATCATATTCAGCTGTTGGACTAAGTATTTTAATGCTGACAGAAAAGGAAAAAGCAGTTCTCCAGCAATCAAGGCCTCCTGATACCACTTGCTGGCTCCTGGGAAAAAATAGAGAGTGGGCTATAGGAAAGCTTGCCTGTCCTGGCTGTCTTTTCGAAGGTTTCCTACAGTTTGATGCTTTTCTTCAGGCTTTAGGTTTCTAGTCTCCTTGGATTAAATAAAAATCTTAGCTTTTAATGAAACGTCTCTGTGGCTGAGGAAAGAAAACTTAAAAATGCAGAACCTTAAAATCTGTAAACCAACAGTGAGATAATGAATAATAAACAGGTGTTTTCAGGGAAGGGAAGACAGCATTGCATTGTTTTAATTTTATACTTTTTAATACTATTTCTTTCATAGAGGAGAGTTTTAGTCTATCTAACATTACAAAAGAAATAATGACATAGCTGACTGGGATTCTAAATATCCTTCATAGTGAGAAAGGACATCTAATTCCTCTAATTTTTGGTATAGTTGTCGTGGTTTTGCCCACCAGCCCATCCCTGGGGCTGAGGATGGTTTTGTCCAGGTAATTTCTGGACAAAAAGGCCAATCAAAAGTCCAGTGACGCCTTTGCTAATTACATCTTCAAGAAAACGGAAGAGAAGGTTTGTTGGCGCAGTTGAAATTAGGGGCAGCAGCCATGTAGGGGAAAGGAGTAACAGGCCCGAGCAGGGCCAGATTCCCTCCTCCCCCGGCTTGGGCCGGGGTGGGGGGAGCAGGTGTAGCACTGAAGTCCTCCCTTCTCTCTTGTAAGAGAGTGAAGAAAAAAAGTTTAAAAGACGAACTGCTTAGGCAGAAACTGCTGTGGAAAAATTCGAGCGAAGAGATAAGGGACCTCTAAGGTTAAAACTAGCAGCTGGAGGAGAGAGAAGAGAAGTTTGAAGTGGGGAGAGCTGCTTCTTCCCCCTTTTGCTCTCTCTCTTCAGCAGGGAAAAGACTGAAAAGTAATCCCTGCTACTTGTAAAAGTTTGTTGGAGTAAGGAGACCCCCCATGCGGCTGATGGAGGAGTCTGTGGATGTACCAAAGAGAACCGAGACTTCATGAGAAGGACTGAAGTGAGGCAGAGTCCTGGTGGAGATCTGTGACCCTGAGGGAAACCTGTGCTGGAGCAGTGACGACTCAGGTGGGATACTGAGATCCGTGTGTGTGTGGATCCGTACTGCTCTTGAAGATTTTATGACCCTGAGAAATCTCATGCTGGAGCAAGACGACCCATGTGAGATGTTGGGATCCGTGTGTGTGTGGATCCGTGCTAGACCCATGCCGAGAAGTCTATCAAGGACTGTTCTCCCATGGGGAGGGACCTCCATAGGGAAACAGGGGTGAATTCTTAAGCCATTATTCCTTGTAACTCTGTGGAAGAAGATCCATAGTAAACAAGTGTCCCCTTGCAAACCTATGGAAGGAAGACCCTTCGGAACCTGGGTAACCCCCAGCCTTCGGTCTTAGCCCAGGAGGGGGATAAGCCCAGCCCTGGAAGCCAACACAGAGCGAGAAAGAGAGAGAGAAAGTTCCAGCTGCAACGAGAATACTGCTACTACTGAAGATCTATTACTAGAGAGAGAGAGAGAGAGAACTGGAACTCTGAAAATAGAAAATGAGACTACTTCTTCTCCTTGGACTAGTATAAAAGGGGAAGAAGTATTTCTGTAAATATATAGCACTTCAACTTGAGTAGAAATTGTTGTAGATATAATTCTTTAGTTTTTAATTTATTAGTAGTTTTTATTTTACTAGTAATAAATGTTTATACTATTTACCCCAAATCCTGTCTCTCTTTTGTCTGCAAAAACCTTCTCTCAACTAGTAGTAATTGTGTGGGGAGTGGAAAGCAAATTGACCCAGAGCAAAACCATGACAATAGTTCATGGTGCCGTTCAGTTGGAAATAAAGGTTCAATACAGAATGTTCCTCTACAGAAGTTATTTTGGTTTATTATTGTAATATCCTGAAAAGCACAGGTGAGGGAGGTTGTATGGCAATTGTTAATATTCTACTTGTCCACTGAGGGATTTTCTCAAAACAGGAGAAAGATCATTTTTATCTTAATAAAAACAGAAGAAAATAAAACAAAATAAAAGAAAAAATCATTGTTAATAGCTTGAGGCAACAGACAAAAAAGATTTATTTTGACAAAAGAATTTTCTCACACCTTTTCCTGCTTTTTCTCCTCTCCCACTAGTGAGGAGGGAGGGAGCCACCAGCTGTGTGGGTGCTCACCTGCTAGCAAGGACCAGCATTGCAGCATCAGGCCCAGTTAGGAATGTGAGGCAACTATAAACATAAACAGACACAATAGGCAGCTAGTATTTGGTGGGTCTAGAAAAACACAAGTACTGAAACAAAATTCTTATGCAGGATTTGGGAAGTGTTGAGATTTGGTGGGCTTTGCATGTTTCAGGGTGTTGAATACACCGGCATTCTGATGTTTTAGCATTTACTTAGCATCCACAACACTGAATAAAGTAGGGCTGGAAACTGATCCTTTTTCCTAAATCCAGCTAGCCCAGACTTACTCATATATATGCTGCCCATGACAAGCCTCTGCTAACCTACAAGTAGCTAAGTAGCTAGGTTGATCCTAGTGGAGGCAGTATGCACGTCCTTATTACTTAAACTCCTAGTGTCCTGAGAGCCTTAGGTGGTACTGCTGTGACTCTAAAACTTAATTATTATTTTGGGGGATATTTCAGGTCAGTGTGTCTGAAGCAATATGAGGGATGGGTTGCAGCCCATGGCATTGTGTTCTAGTGGCGTGAAACTGAAGGGCTGATGAGTGATGCACTGTGTAGTATCACGAAGAGGCACATGGGATGCATTTGAGATGCAGAGATTGCTGGGGCAGTGCTAGAGAGATGATTAGGGGGGAGAAAGTTAAATCTGTTATAGTCATTTATACTGACTTTCTAGGGGTCATGTCTGGTGTGAACCATCCTTAGAGCCAGGCCTGGATGCTGTCCTGGAGAGAGTTAGTTTGGACTGTCTACAACAGAGCTATGAAAAAAATGAGCATTGAAGAGATGTGAGTGATTGAGCTTCCAGTGCTTGGGTTCATTTTACATCCCTCTTTTTCTGAGCAGTATAGATGTGAAGTACTTAGATTCTAAAGTTACTGTTTTCAGTCAAAAGTTTCTAAATTTCAACAGGAAAAAGATATTAGATCTGAATTTTACATAGCATTGTAGGATTGAAGATACAGCAGCAGTGGCCACATTAATCTTAATCAATTTTTGTAATTAAATATGAGTTATTAAGACATCAATCTGCTTGGATAAGAAAGCTCCAGATGTCGAAGCTGAATTTTTACCAGACAGAGTGTCTGTAGGCACAGCTGTTGTCACACAAATGTTTGCAGTCCTTAGACATGACTTTGCTATAATTTCTGTGCTGCTTCTAGTGCCTCTGTGTCTCCTGTATTGACTCAGAAGTTCTATGTAAGGGAGTAAGTTTGACGTTTGCTTTCATTTGCCAGCACCTTGTACATAAACTATTTGTGAACAGAAGTGGTGCAAGGGATTACGCAGGACTTCATCCCTTTACAACCCACTGTCATTGCACTCTGGAGTCTCTGACGAATGTTTTGTGTACAAGTGTAGATGATCCCTGCAGCAGAGCATGTTAGGAGGGACGGTGGGAGGGATAGACCATTGATGCTGCCTCCTTGGGGTAGCCCTAGGAGATGCATCTTTCTGGATGTGGCAGCTCTGGGAGGTGTGCTGCTGGTGACAGGGCCCCATAAGGTACCCCAAGGAGCATTACAACCACCAGGCAGCCTTTGGCTTTCCATATGGCATTTTGTTTTACTCCTTCCTCAGCACGTGTGGGGTGTGCTGTAAGGCCTAGATGGTCTGGGCAGCGAGGAAACCTGGCCACACGATCATCGCTTCAGCAATGCGTTTTTAGTGCAGCTTGATCAGCTGAGGACAAAAAGTGACAAAGTCTCCATATGTGGAGCTGGATTTCCCCAGCTCTGCTGCATTAACCTGGAGTAGAATTACCTCTTCTTTTTTGCTTGGGTTAGAAGTTGCCAAACATCCTAATTTGACTACTAATATTAAGAAGGCTGCTGCTTATCCCAGCCCTGCAGATGCTGTAGATACAGTATGACTGGTCAGATGTGATAACTGAAGGGACCTGCATTTTTGATAAGTGGATCATGTATTAGTCCTCTATTCAGGTGGAATTAGGAAAGTCAAATAAAAAAGTTTTCTGATTGAGCAGAACTGCAAGGCAGAATTAGAGCTGTGCAAGACCATTGCCTTAGGATTTATCTGAGGGTTAGTTTTCAGTTTCCGTCTTTCTTTGTATATTCGTGCAAAATAGAAACCAGTAAACCCCTGACAGTTATTCCATCTGTCATAGGAAAATTTGACATGCTGGAGTATAAAACTGTCAGAAATACAGCATTCAGCCAGACCTCACCATACTTCTACTGTAGCACTCTATTCCAAGACTGCACAAATGTTGTTGTCTGGTTTATTAGTACAGATCCGCTTTGCTCTCCCCTCTGCGACTCCTGTCGGCCTAGGTGCTGTGAATGAGATGATCAAACTTCAGCTTCAGCTGGAGGATAACTCAGGAACCAGTACATGTATTTGCACTCCTGACAGCTGAAAGTCCAGACAGGGGTGGGGCTTACGAGGAATTGAAACCAATGTGTTGTAACTCCAAAGTTTTGAGTCTTTCCCTAGGCTAATCAGCAATACTTGTGTATTGCAAAGTACTCTCAAAGCAATGTCTGGGTTCAGAGGATGGAGGGAAGGCAGCGGGTACAGGACAGCTGCTGGCACTAGTACTCCATTTTCCTCTCAGGATTACCCTTTGGATGGCAACAACAAAACAGAGAAGGGTACTAACACCCAGAAGCTGACAATGTCCAGAGAGGAACAAAGCAGCCAAGCGCCGGTCTACCAAAAACAGCAAGAGCAGCAGTAAGTAACAAGGAGCCTGTCTAAGATGATGATGTGTGTATTGGGTGCCTGTTCTCCAGCTTGCCTGAGCTGTATACCATTAAAGGGGGAAATACTTTATAGAGAGCTTGTGAATGGGGCTGAGCGCACAAGCAGCATGTTGTCCTTTTCATGGTGCTTCCAACATGGGACTCGAGTTGTTCTGGCAGGCTTTGGCTTGGCTTACACCCTGTGTAATAGCAGTGACCAGTTCTGTATGTTGCATATTGGCGTATGTGGGATCTGTTTCCTGGCATCTTTTTTCAAAGGGAAATTTCAAATCTGGTTCTAGCTCCCTGTTTTGTCTTTCTCCTAAGGCTTCATTCTGCGAAGTCTAAAAATACTGTCTTTGGTTTAAGATATGGATATAGGCTGAATTCCAGCACTGATCTGAATGCAGTCAAGGACATAGAACAGCTCTAGCAACTTCATGCCAACAAAAGTAAAATAAAACTTTAGCCCTCGATTTCATTTTGTGCTTTATTGGAATCTATGCTCAGTCCATCTCTGGTTTTCCAGTAACAATTTAGAGATAGCTTGTGTAAGCTGTGTCTTGCAGATATAGTACAGAATAGAAACTGAAAGTAGTGTGTGTATATTTTATGCACGTTTAATACAAATAGGCTTAGCTGAACAGAACTAATTGTTTAGTCTTTTTCTCCAAATGTGCTTTCTCTGAGCTGTTAATAACAGTGCATGCAATGCTATTATTATCGTTATGTGCTGATCTCATGACTCTCAAAGTGCAGCTGACAGGAACTGCAATCTGTTTTGGTTTCCTTTCCCTTTTTTCTGGATGAAGAAGGTGGAGCCACGCTGTGAAGGAGGTGGCAGGCTGGTGATGGCAAGCAGCAGATCAGTGGCTTTAGATTATCCATGAATACTTGCCTACTGGGTAGTAGTGGTACAGAGACTATTGAGAGTTGGGTCCCTTTGCAATCCATCAGCACTTCAATGACTGACTTTCAGCAGAGCAAACAAAAATTCCTTAGTTACAGTCTGTTTATTTTCTGCCACTTCCAAATGTGAAAGACCCTCTGTCTTCCCTGACCTCATAGTGAATTATATCCACAGGAGAATGAGAGCAGCCCTGGTTTGCTTGCATATTTGTGCTGTATGCATTTTTTTTGTTGTTGTTTGGTTGAGGTTTTTGTTTGTTAGTTTGGTGGTTTGGGATCTTTGTTTTGTATTTTTTGGGGGGGGGCAGGAGGATAGTGGGGGTTTTCCCATTGGCATAACTTTCTTTGCCCAGATTTTTTCTGGGATTCAAACCTCCTGGTATAGGTTAGGTGAATAATATCAATTGGTTAGCCAGAGTACCCTGCAAAATTGAAGGCCAGGGCAAATATAGTCACACAGATTTTGACCAGGATGGGAAAGCCCCTGAAACTAAGTAAGCTTTTGGGGAACATGAATTTTATGCCCTGTTCCCTTTTTCATCTTATATGATGATTGCAGAGCTGAAAGTGTGCACCTACTGTAAGGACTTTGTAATATTTTTTTGCTATGTGATACAAAAGATTCTCTCTGTGTCTTCAAAAAGTTCTAATAAAGAATTAATTCCTAAATTTCAAATGTACAAATTAAAGTCTGCATTAGTATGTAGTTAATGAGGAAGAGGGACGAGGGAAAGGCAACAGAAACCATGTAATATAAGTGGTACAAATACTCAAAAAAAGAAGAAAATAAAGCTGTAGTTTGCATCCTTCCCTTAAGGAGGGGGATACTAGCTGTCAATTTGAACACGTTGAAGATGTTTAAGCTGCTATTTCCTTAACTAATACAGATTAAATTGGTAGACAGTATCTGAAATACTGAAGCAGACAAGGAGAGATCTTTATTCTCAAAAAAATTTTATTTCATTCATTATTACCTTGTTCTGGTATCTCAAGTTACATTTTAAGAAAGATCTCAGATTAAAATACTATTTTAGCAGTGATAAAGTTGATTGAGCCTTTTAGACACCAATTCTTTTAAATATGATCTTTAAAACTAAAATACTGGGACACCCTCAGAATGGTCCAGGTTTTCAGGCTCTGGAATAACCAGAGCAGTTGGGTAGCTGAAGTCATAGGACCAGAAATAATATGCAGACTGGCATTAATTAAAGGCTTTCTGGAATACATATAACAGAGGGAACATGAAGGGCCCAAGTAAGATACCTCTGTGCCAAGGAGTGTCTCTATTCCAATTTCTGTGCTGCTTGCTGGTTTTTTGGAAACAGGATATGGTTTTGCTGCCAACAAAGCAGGAGCTGGAGTCTCCTTTGAAAGCTCTTGCGTGAGTGGATTCCACGCAAACTCTCAGTCTCAGTCAGAGCAATTGGGAATGGGAAAACACCTTAGAAGCACCTAAAGGTGGTATCAGGGGACCTTTCATGTAGACTGGACACCTGAAATGTGTGTGGGACATGGCACATTGCAGTATCATCCACTAGTCAATATTCAAACTTGGCTATTAAAAAGTACAAGGTGGGCAGCTGGTATTAGATGATAATTTTGCTTTAGAAAAGCCCTTATATAATATGTTGAGGTTGAGAAGTTACAATAAAATGGCCCTAATTAAGTAAAAAAAAATACATGTTCAAATGCAAAATTGAAATCACACTGTGCATATCCCCCTCCAGTTATATATAGAATGTAGTTTCAGGTATGGAGAAAAAAAGTCACCAGGATGACAAGTGCTTGAAACTGCTTACAATAATAAGCTTGCATTTAAGTTACTTCACTTTGTCTGCTAAGTGCCATGAAATTAACTTGCAGCAAGTGAATTTGCAGATTGCCCCTGTTCATATCTTTTCAGAAACAAAAGTCTGTACAGAAGAAAAGGTGGAGGAAAGTGAGGAAATTAGAGGGTAAATTATACCTAGTACCTGAAAAAGAAACTGCAGCCCCCATTCAACAGTCTGTCCTCAGCACCTTTAAAGCTGGCAAGAATAATATTGGTTCTGGTAAAATCCATTAAAAAGTGAAATTAAAGATAATAAAACCTGAGGATACATTGCCGCACAGCAGGTAACAGTCCCTCACCATTTTGTGTGAAAGGAGAGCAGAGTTGCTAGAATACTTGACTCAAGAAATTATATTCTTTGACTGCTGGAGCCAAATCCATAACTATCTTTCCTTCATTTTCCAATCTTCATCCTGAATTTAAAAAGAAAAACAACATAAAAAATATCTATAGTGTTGTAACACCCCTCAATCTTTTCCTGATAGACTATACTTAGCAGTTCTGAATTTTTTCTTTCATAATCTGAAGTTTCTTTTTTTTTTTAAAAAAAAACAAACTACCCTACAAAACTGTAGGTGGATGCTTAGCAAAATGCTTGTTTCGCCCACTGCCCAGCCACCAGTGGGAGTACTAGAAGGGTAATTTGAATGATGGACAATCTGTTCAGAGTCGAACTCTGTATTTGATGAAGAGTTGTGATGAGGTTATGAATGGGGAATTTATGGGAGGATGCTATGTTTGGGGGGGGGGGCAATAAAAGGACAAATTCTCTGATTCAGAGGCAGCAGAGGAGGAAATACATTGTTGAAAAGAGAGGGGAAGCAGAGATGAACATGCTGCTAGCTCAAGTCCTAATCTTCATGTGATACAGCATCTGACCTGCTGAGCTCTCCAGGCACGCTGGCAAGACTGACTTGCAACACATGGATGTCTCTGCAGGGGATAGCTTGGCTGAGCGCTTGGTGTTGCCAATCCCAGCGTCTGGCCTGCCCACGTATGGATGCTCCATGCCTCTCACAGCTAGTGATTACCAGGAGCTCCAGCTGGCTCTGGCATGCTGGCTACATCCCTGACACTGTGCTGCACTGAGATAATTTAGCTGCTCTAGGACCTAGGGGCAGCATAACCATGGCCATGTCTAACTTCATAGACTTTGCTGGGTCTGATGCTAAACTATAATGCACCACAGTGAGTTCTGCCCCCTTGGTGTAATCTGACCACAAGCATAGGCTGACGAATGACACATTAGCATTTCATAGAGGAGAGAGAAAGCTGTGCTGTGGGCCATGTTTGGGCTGAGAGCTACCCCTTGGCTCCCTGATTTGATCCATCACTGTAACAATTTCCTTGGAGCTTTAGAACCTGGTTGAGATCGTCCAAAACGGTGCTGGCTGAAGCACGTCTTTCTGATTTGCCAAGACCAGACCAAGCTGCTGAGTGTGACCTCCATCTAAACTCTTGGAAATTCAGTTCCAATTTTCATTTTTAGTCTTTAGACCAAATTTTAATTTAAGGAAGTTTTCTACAAGCATGTGGGTAAAAGTAGAACCTCAGATCTGTTTCTTTCCTGCAGATTTCTGACTTATACTTTCTCATGGGCCTCTCCCTGCTGCTGTTTCACTTCTCACTCTTTCCCTGTCCATATTCACTTCTTCAGGTTTTAACTCTTTGCTTTATCCCAAAGTCTCAAAATGTCAAAAATGCTGGCAGTTCTAATGAAAGCTTTAGCTAACCAGAAGGACCAGATACAGAAGTGAGTTACCCTGGCTTAATAAGCTTCTGGCCATCATTTGAACTGTGGTAATTAAGTGCATTCCTGGCCTGTGGCAAACACAGGACAAAATCCACAGACATAGACTTTTGATGATAATAATGCAGTTCATTTTCTGCCTCTTGTGCTAAGAGCACACACACAGTGAGGGTGAATCCAACAGCGTGTAATGCTAAGCCCGAATTATTCAGTTTTGTCTCTGAGCTGCAAACTGGTTAGATGCTGCTGATGATGATAAAGATGGAAATCCAGAACCCCAAGCCTGCATGCGAGGTTTGTACACCCTCCCAGAGCTCTGCTTAAGGCACTGCTGGGACACAGAGCATATTGCTTGACTAAAGTCTAGACCTGTGGCTGTCAGTTATCGTTAGTATCTGGCCATGTGTGCTTTGCGAAATAGCGATACCTACAGGACAGTTGTCTGCTTGTTAGGATTTGGCATCTTGTAGTCCTCTGATTTGGCAGCTTCCATGGTACTCAG